TTCCCCATGTATTGTTTAATGATACTAGCTAAAGTTTTTCCATTGACAAGGTTGTTTTTCTTGTATTTCGCTAAATTTTAGACGAGTTGATTTTCGACAAATACTTTCGGTCGCCATAAACAAATCAACAAAACTGCAAGCCTTGTTAATAACCACTTCAATACCGCTAGTAATCTTCACCAAAACAAATATTTTAGAACAAACTAAACTGAAGTTATATTAACGACTGTTTAAAATCAGGAAAACGTGGGAAAATAGAAAAATAAAAGCACTTAAAAGCAGTAAAAACTCAATCAATTTTAGTTGCTCTGTCACAACAGTGCAAAAAGTAGGACAAGCAAAAAAAAACGCTTTCCAGCGTGAAAAACTATCGTAAACAGTATTAAATTTTACCAATATAAACACTGATGCTATATTTATACTGAACAGTTGACAAACTTGATTGAATAGGCTACAATTAGCTCGTAAACAATACCTGCAGCTGTTGTATTTATTTCAAATGATGCAACAAAGTTCACTTTTCAAAATACCAAAAAATAACCTTTTTTCTAAAAAAAACTTATTGAATGTCCATACTAATTCATCAGGAAACACTTGCCCAGTATTATATAGCCTTTTCTTGCACATATCTTGACAACTGATTGAAAACAATACAGGAATGAACAGGTAACAAGAAAATAAAAATTTGCTTCGAAAAAGACAAACAAGCCGTCCCAGATTAAAACCCGGAAGTGAACGCGAGGTGCATACGTCATTTTCACGTCCTCTTGACGTCCGCGTCTTGTTATCTAAAAGCGTCTATTCCTGATGATGACTGCAACATAGCGTCATTCCTGATGATGACTGCAACATGGCGTCATTCCTGATGACTGCAACATAGCGTCATTCCTGATGATGACTGTAATATAGCGTCATTCCTGATGATGACTGCAACATAGCGTCATTCCGTAGCGTCATTCCTGATGATGACTGCAACATAGTCGAAACGTCGAATTAAAAATGTTAACTGTTTTCGGAGTGTCCATTGTTTTGTATTTTTTAAAATTACTCAGTGGTAACCGTAACTTCTGACGTCCTATATCTCTTCAATTTCCGCCATCTTGGCAAGGATTGTGCCGATACGGTCCGTTAGAGAAAAGTGAATTTAGCTGGGGAAAATGGTATAAAAACTGTTTACGAATTACGACCTTCAGAGCTATTGGACGTCAATGGCAGCCATCTTGGCTTGACCAACTGGAACGCTACCTCCAACTGAAAATTTGAAGCCAAACTTGAAGGCCAGGCCCAGTCTTTTCACGCATGCGAAGAGCGGTCAATCATGATATAAACCAATCTCGTACCGCGTGTTTGACCCCCAGACACGCGTGTCTGGGGGTCGTCAAGATTTGGCTTCAAGAAAAAGATATGCGATTTATCTGAAGGTAAGTCCATTCTGTTCAGCATGCATGTATAGAAATTTCTTCAGACCGTATTTATACTTCCTCCTATGTATGCATTCAAATTTATACCCTGGTGAGATGTTTTGTCTGCTGTTTGGATACAGTATTAAACACGTCAGCACTTGAAGTATCTTGAAGTAACTTAAACTGGCTGCTTTGTTCATCAGTGCATTTTTAAGGATTCTTCAGTGGTGGGGCAAACTGCCAAAGGGCCCATTTTCCTTGCCCTCCCCCCCCCCCTCCAGGATAGTATGCGTTCGCCGAAGGTGTGAGCCGAGTGCCGCAGGCACGAGTTAGCAGGCACGAGTTAGGGGGGGGGGAGGGATCTCTGAAATAGCATTTCCTGCATTCTGAGAACACATTTTAAAAAGATCTCAGCTTCTCAAAACAAAGTTTTAATGGTGAAATTTGTAAAACATTACACGCTAAACATTCAAACACAACACAAGTTATGCTCACCAACAAATTTTGTTTTTCAAACTTCTTTTCAATGTTAATTTGCTCAATACAGGTCCTAGGGCCCTGGCTTTGGGGTAATAGGCCATTTTTTATTCTTCGGTGGTGGGGCAAATGCTCCACCAGTCCATGGTATTAAAAAATGCCTTGTAATGTTCATTGTTCTGTTTTTGAGCAGGCTCTCTGGGGAAAGAGAGCCTGCAAGGATCCCTATGATGATTCGGTGCATGCGTCCAATATTTGGACGCAGTGCTCTGATTGGTTGATAACTGATTCATATGAAGTGATTGACAAGCTTCCATAAACTCGCACTTCCCGTTTGTAAAACCGAGCCACAGAATAAGGCACAAAGAAGGGCACCCTGGCCGCCATCTTCCTAGCCAGTCGATTACATTTTCTGGCCAATAAACGCGCTGTATTGGCTGGCCGCCATCTTCCTGGCCAGTCAATTGCATATTTTTGCATAGAAAAATGGTGACACGTTGCACCGCTGAGTGGCCCTTCTGGTACTGATCTTTATTCTGTGACCGAGCAACGCAAAGCTTCGGAATTGGCGGCAATGTAGAGATAAAAGTGTCATGTATTTTGATCCTGGTTGACTTTTTACTGTAAATTAATATAGTATTCATATAAAGACGATTACTAAAAGCTTGCATGCTTTATTGTGTCCTTGGCTTGTCTGACTCCTAAGCTAAGAATAATTCTTGAGAAAGACTGCACAAATTCGCAAACCGAAACCTAGGGACAAGGCATTATATCGCTTCTCTTTTATGAAACAATATTGGGAATTCTGATAATATTCAGTGCATATTGTGTGTATTAAGCTTGTTTTACAATGTTAACTGACTATTTAATATTTATAAGTATGCGGCGTTAATGCGCGAATCAAATCGAAACCTTGACATCCCCCCCCCGGGAATTTGGATTTTGACGTTTTGGTCAGGTCAAATTCCCTACATATATTTGTAATTCCCGTTCAAATACACCACGTATTGGGAAAAATTGGAGTTCAAATGCCCCACCCCATGTACGAATTGGAAGCTACAGCATTTCGCAATTTTGGAATTTCCAAGTTTTTCTTTCCTTCAAAAACTCTCTTCAATCGTTCAAAGCCGTTTTCTTGTAGCCAACCAAGGACAAAGTTAATTCCTTTGCACTTGAAGACCTTGAACTCATCCATTAATTACTGACGCCATTTTGGATTCTAAACACGTGTTTAAAAGAAAAATTCAAATTCCCGACCCCCTTCAAATTCCCCACCTTCCACTAGAAAAAAAGGTCAAATTCCCGCCTTCTTAAAATACTAAACAAGCAAATTCCCCAGGTATGCCCGGGGGGGGGGGATGTCAAGGTTTCGATTTGATTCGCGCATAAAATGTACAGTAATTTACTCGTCACTTTGTTTACAATAATTATCACATGCATGTTTACTGCAATTCCACTTTTTGTTGCAAAATTTGAACTATAAACATATTATTAAATTATGTCCAATGTCCATGGTATATCATATATGTCTATGTCTCACCAAAGCCATAAATTTCAGTAAGTTATATTATTACTATATATATAGACTGTATACAGTGTATATTATATATTGCAGCACGAAGCAATTCCAAATAACTGAATTAGTTAGCGGGTAATATACAACTTTAAACTTACTGTGCCTACAGGAGAAACACATGCAGATTGTAATAAAAAGTACAACTTGATATATTACTCTGTAAAACCTCGAGCCGTTTTAACTTTTTTAGTATGCCACAGTTCTAGTTCTATTAACCGTGGTTTATGTTTACAATATCGTAGTGTATTCCGGTCTGCGCTGATTGGTTGTTATTAATTGACCTGTGACATCATAATTGAAGGGCGGCACGCAATCATCATAGGGATCCTTGCAGGCTCTCTTTCCCCAGAGAGCCTGCTCGCAGGCTATTTCATCTCTGATTTCTTCAGCCTCGGATTGAACTTACAAATATAGCTTTAAACAAATCCATTGATGGCTTTTCGCTCCCTTTCTGCTCAAAAATAGCCATTGCAGCAGATATCCCGAAATATCACTTTTCAAAGTTCGAATTTGAAGGTATTTTTAAAAGTTGTCAATGTCCAATGAGTCTAAATTTTTAACTCGGATGGTAAACTATTCCAACTTCCAAGCCACTGTTCCTCTATAGACTATACTGTATTTGGCTTCGGAAGTGCAAAATTGAATTCAGCATTCATGGTCATATGTACTGCAGGGGCTATTTAATTTTTGCAACTGCTCCTGGTTAGGATAAAAGTCCCGCAGACTCACAACTCGCATACTAGACAAACTCAAATTCATTCATTTATCAAATTCCCAATTATTAAAGACCTAGGTTCTTCTTGGATTTTCTTGATTAATTTGGCACATGGAATATAAAACATCTCTTTCATTTTTCGACAATGACGTCATGTCAGTTTGGTGGTTGGAAACTGAGTACTGACAGTTTGGGACCAGAGGTCACTGAGAGGTTTGGGACTTTGCCACAGCCACTTTACTGTAACAATCTCGTTCCCCGAGCCTGCGATCCTCGGGAAGGAACGCGAGGCTCTGGGATCATCCGTTGCTGGAAGCCAGGAATCCTGACTAAGATTGAACTGCGCATTCCATATCAACGGCCAATCAGATTCCTGCCTGAAACGGATTATCCCAGAGCCTTGCGTTCCTTCCCCATTGAACTAAAAATAACTGGAACGCTACGTTCAGTAAACTGCGCATGCAAATTTTGAAGCCAAAATTTGACTCCCATGAAGCCAAATGAAGCCAGGTTTGACTCCCAGACACGCACTTCCACGCGTGTTTCTACTGCGCGATTTACTCGCGAGACAATGCAGGGGACGCTCGAAGCATGCCGTTTTGAACGTTTTCATGGCAGGATGCAAATCGAAAGGGAAACGGGCCTTTTCAGTTTAAAACGGGCCTTTTAAAGCCTGTGTACGACCTTGTAGAATTTAGCTTCAAATTTCCGCTTGAACGTAGCGTTCCAGTTATTTTTAGTTCAATGTTCTTCCCGAGGATCGCAGGCTCGGGGAACGAGATTGCCACTTTAATAGTTTGCTAAGTATGGCCACAGATGGTATGGGGGCTAATATGCCAGCGAAAAAGGGCGACTTTCCTGGTGCAAAAAATATGCCTGAGAAAAACAAAACAGTGCAGTTAAATGTCGGTTATTCCGACCAAGAAATGGAAAAAATAAAGTTTGGTATTATTCCTCGAGATATGGATGACAGATGGTTTATATATTACGGTGAAGACGAGGAAACCCTGTATCTACATCGCAGTTGGACTGGTTTTTGTGTGTACATGGTGAAATTTAAGAATGTTGACAGTGGTTTTGCTGCTTTGAATACTGTGGTTAATGAAGATCCAGAACAGTATAGATGTTCTGACGAT